TATTTCTTTATGCGTTTTAGCTGAGCAATGGCCCTCTGAGTTATTCTTGTTCAGGACCTGCTCAACAGCCATGGCCCGTTTGTTGATGGCGCTCGCGTGATCCCTGCCATATGGAATTTTGGTGATGCACGGCGTCTTTTCCTCCGCAGATTCCATCCGAGGAGGTGGACGTGGCACCATGACCTTCCCTTGGGTTTTGGCAATCTGACTAACCTCGGTGGCAGACTGAGGTCGTATGACCGTGCCCTTTCTTGTTCGTGAGGAAACAGGACCCGCTCTGCCAAAGTGCTCTTTCCGAGGGACCTTGGGGGCACTGGCTCTGATGCTGTTGCGGTGTACCTTGACCTCATCGGTTTGTTGCTGGGGCAAGTTGACTTGAACATCTGCCCAAGCTTCTTTTGTAAACTGATAACCAGTGGAGGCTGCAGGGGTCATGCCGGGTCCAGTCTTGGGAGTCCCTGAGAACGCACTAAGGCTTAGCTGGTGGTCGTTCGAGTTGTTTTTTGGTTGACAGAGATTGAAGGATTTGCCTTTCATTTTGTTCTGTTTATCTTTCTCTTTTTCCACATGCACTTCATCAAACCAACGCAGCTTCTTTTTGACAGTGTTATTGCCCTCCAGGTCCCTTGTTTTTCTCCGTGCTAATTCAACACTATCCCTGATCGCTAAAGCTACTTGTTTTGCAAAAATCAAATTCCCTGAGCCGTACACACAAGTGGAATCCATGTATTTGGACTGCTTTTTAAGAATTCCCTTACTATATCTGACCTCACATACCGAATCAGACGTCTCTATTGACAAAGGTATTTTCTCGACTTCCTTCTCAGGACATTCAAGACACTTGTACGTATCTGACTGAATATTAGACAAGCAGGTATGCTCCATGGGTTTTGTATTTATTGGCTTCTTAGTATTGGAGTCTGAGTTTGTAACCTTATTGAGATTGTTTGTAGAAGCACTGCATTCTTTGTGAGATGACAGAGCGCTGTTTTCTTTTCCTGTTTGCTGAAGAGCGCTTTCTCTTGACAAATTGTCTGTTGTACTGTTGTACAAAAAAATATTTGGCTTTGGGGGATCCCCAAACAAAATGTCTTTGCTGTTGCTATTTTTGGCAAGCAAAGGAATTTCTGTAGTTGGATATTTTAATTGTCTGTCATCTTGGATCCTCTCCTGTTTGGGAGCCAAGAGGCCCTCTTGTTTAGGATAGGAAGAATCGAGTGCTGCGTTGCCAAGAGCAGCTATATTTGCAATAATGATGTTGCCACCGGGGCTGTTCTGTCGAGTTTTCATCTCATAGGGCTCTAGGTCAGCACTAACATTTTCACTATGAGCTGATAAATTACAGTTGTTCAGAGCAGGCTGGATCTCTGTCTTAAGTCTTTGTTCAATAGATGTGAATTCCCACGAGGCTTTAGAAACATTTATCTTATTATTATACCATCCAGATTCATCTAGTTTTTTCTGGTTTGGTTCATGCCGCTTATTTGCTTGGACTAAGTTATCACCGAGAAGCATCATCGCTGAGAAGTCTGATGTTTGATGACACAAGTCATTTTGCTTTCTTAGGTCTTGATGGGTCCTCTCTGTGCCAAGCAAGAGTGATGAATAGGAACTCTGCAGAGTTTTTGTGAGGTGGTTGAAATCCTCATTTTCCAAACTATCCTTACTTGAAAGGCTCTCAGAAAGACAAGAATCAGACAGGTGGCTACCCTGGAAAATGGAAGCAGAGAGGAGTTGATAAGTGGAAAATAATATATTTTACAACTGTACAGGCATGCCTGTTGCTTATCAGTGCTTACAAGGACCTCCCCTGCGTCCTTGCCACTGATCTCTTTTTTTTTTTCACAAAATGAAAATGAAGACTGTTATAAATAATATACATTCTGAAACAGCTATTAATATACACACATTGCACTAGAGGGTGCTACAGTTTGTAGCATCCACAGGGACTGTTACTGCAGGAAAAGGTTTGTTACAATGCTGCCACCTAGTGGAATCCCCCCAAGATTGATTCTGTTCATCTGGACGTTTTCAGTGGGAGAAACGTTTCAACACTCATCCAAGTGACTTCTTCAGTCTCAGGTGACTGAGGTAGGTTTCCCCAATATTATAAACAGCCCATTATTCGTTCAGTCGTGCTAGTATATATATATATATATATATATAAAAATGAAAAATGAAAAACAAAATCATCATAAATCTGGTCCTTACCAGGTTCTACAATTATTTAAATACGGCATTACAACACATGGCATATTACACTCTGTCTTTATTTAATTACTAAAAATATAGCCAAAATGTAGAAGCAGTACAAGCAGTAAGTACAGCCTCAGAGCATCCACAGAAATTAAGCGCCGACTGAAAGAAACTGTGGCCTCGAAAAAAGCAGAAGAGCTGTCACACTAAAGTAGTTTTGTTTCCTGCACATTGAAATGAAAAAAACAAAACAAACAAAAACAAAATACCTGTGGACTGTGATCGTGCTCGCTCTCTATTCTGCTCTGTTCCAGGAGGAGTTTTGTGTAGGCCTCCACAGCAGAAAGCGCTTGGCGGTGGGAGGATTGAGAAACTGTGGGTGGCTTAGGAGATGGGGAGCAGCTTCTTTAAAAGAGAAAGGAGAATATAAATAAGCAGTGACTGGCTATTTTTGGTATGCAGTAAGATAATGGTTGAAGTTTAAATCTGCTTCTTTTTTACCCATTAACGTTTATATTGCTGGACAAGAAAGAGGACTGCCGAGTGTGCGAATTCAAGGTGCCTTGAATTTGATGGAGTGCATCTTCAATATTTGCAACATTTCTTTTAAAAGCTATGAGACACAAAGGAAAACATATAAATAAACCAAAATATGTCAAGACTGTTGAGTGAAATAGAGGGTGGTACGTGTTAAGGAGCTGAAACTCCCAAACCCTTCATCCAACTTGAATGTGAATACCCTCAAATGAAAGCTGAGAGTCTACGCATTCCGTCCATGTCCATTACACAACTATAACTGGAATATTTTTCAGTACACACGTAAAGAACAAATCTTGTGTCAGTGTCCAAATATATATGGAGCTAACTGTATAATCTACTAACATTGTCGGCGCCTCTCAGAAGGGGGTAAATGTGCTCTTTGGAAACGCTCAGTTGCGTCCTGTACTTGCAGTCTGCGTTGCTGGAGGATGCGGTCTCTTAGGCACTGCTCCTGCACATCCCACTGCTTCCGTCTTTCATCCAAAGCCCTGAGCCATGAAAAAGGGAAGAGCATGAACCTAGGGCACATTTTAATTTATTAAATCTAGTCTGGGCTAAACAGAAACCTGAGTCCCTGCCTAGAGATATGTTTTCAGCAGAGCCATTAATAAATTAAAGACACCATTCACTCCTGGGTTCACTGGTGAAGCCAGTAACAACAGTAATAGTGTAAATAAAATTCCACTTTGTTTTCTTTTTTAAATGTCAGAAGCAGTAGTGTATTAAATAGCCATGAGAAGTACCTCTATCTACTGTATTTACAAAGGCTTATAGTAGCTGAAAATTCATTTTTGAAAATGTGTCATTAAACTATACATGAACTGGAGTTACACCTGTCCTTTAAATGTGCAACATTGTGCCTAATTATGCTGCCTTTTTTGTGTGTGAAAAATCATGTTAAAGATTGCAATTCTGCTGTCTAAAAATAAAACTGAAATGTATTACTGTAAGTGAAGATATAGTATTTCATGCAATCTATGTAATGTTTATGGGTAAGCTTATCCACAGTTTAATTTGCCCCTCCATTAAAGGAACAAATCTAATTTGTGGGGTTCCTCTTGTTCTTGGGTTACGCCTTGTTCTGATGTTACGCAATAAGCCTGACCGTTGCCTACAGCCATCCTTGCTATAACATGCTTTTAGTGCACTAGGTTTAAAAACAGGACCTCTCAGCGTCAGGTCCCAATTATGGAAACACATATTTAGAAGGTGCAAGGGATCTGAACCTCATCGGGATAAACTTTGCAGCTTTAAGCATTCAAAGAAGTCAAGCTTTAATCACCTCTCTGGAAACATAGATCTATTTCCAGGTCTACATTGTGAAATCCTGTCTGCACAGTTGTATCAAAGTCAAGGACAGAACCAGAGGCCCATTCTGAACACCAGCAAAGCACAGCCTACTTTGCTGAAATTAAATGGGCTGCACATATTTCTCTAAATGGGTATGGGAGCGTTATAGATTATAGGTTATAGAAATCGGACAGAAGTGTGTTGTTTAGATGAAACTTTGCTGTTAGTCCAACAATAAAAATAATATATATTCATTTGACAACTGACTTCCTGCGTCGGTTGGTTTCCAGGGAGAATTTGCGTGCTCGAGATTTGCATATCTTCTGCTCTTCAACCAAAAGCTGTCTCTCCTTCTCGAGACTTGCATGATCTCTCAACCTCGAATATCTGGTAGTCATCAGCTGAGGAGAGCAGTTGTTGATGGTAGTCAGAGGATATGTGTCGCGTAAAAGTAATAATCAGTAATGATTAAGTTCTCGTGAATTATACAAGCAGGTCGAATAAAGTTTCAAGTTGGGTCATTACCGAACTCTACATTTGTTTTAAAACGAGCGTGGGTGCACGACACACATTTCTATAACACAAATAACTTCATGCATGTAGGATACGAATGGTAGAAGAAGTGATCTTGTGGAACTTGCATCCTCTGAGGCTGCTGATCTTCGCTGACACCGAGCAGACGTACAGGTTCAATCGGCTAGCAGCTGCTAACTTGTCCTTTTTAGCTAACGTCGGCAGTACGCCGGATTAAGTCACTCAACCATTTTCAGGGCGAAGTGAAACTTGTAGCGTAAATTTCCACATCGTTGCGACCTCCCCTGACCAGTAACAGCCTCATTGTCTTGTGTAAAAGAGTGAGAACAAAAATCCGAATAAGTTGATACGTCCACAGCCGTGTTTGTGTACGCTTGCTCCATGATAGCGACCGAGGACGCGACTCCTTAGCAACCAAGAGAGATTGTTTCTCTTATGTCCAGCAGAGGGCGCAGGACTCCTCCAGACGTGCATGTCGCCTTCAGGCACATTTGGAAATTAAAGGTATCCACATTTTAATGTTAAAAACTTTCTGTGGGATAGTTAAAATGTTTTTACTCAGCTTTTATATCTACTCTTAGAGGAGGGCTTGTAAAATACGAGGATGGGCTGGTATTACTTTTTATCTTTAATAAAAAACAGAAGTTAAGAGGATTATTGAAAATCTGCTTTTTCCAGATTGTGTATGCCATTTTATGGACGAGTGGGCCGCTGCTTTATCTCTTACTTTGTCAAACACTGTATATGGGTATAGTGATGATATTGCTGCTATCCTGCACTCGGGTAATTACATATAATCCCTTTGCCCTCGGCTACAGTTTAAGTCACAACCTGTTATGCTGGAGCGATTCTGCTGATCCAAAGTCCCAGTTTGTCAAAGTGCTTTAATATCTTGCTTTAGGGGGCTTACTGGAAGATTGATTGAAAATAAAGTAAATAATAGATAAATATAATACCCACACCAATACCCATATTTCAAAGGAAATTCTAAAGGAAAAACGCCCTTTGGGCGTGCAAATGCAGCACTTCAAGAGTCAACACTGGACGCAGGGTTAGAGCCACTCTGACAGAAGGTCCAGAGGCTACAGGATGAGCTCGATGACCGAAGCAGATTTGGGTCATAAAGATTAAACAATTAATAAATCATCTGATGGAGCAGTATTTCCCAAGGTTAGTGAAGCGCGTGTTTTTTTCCCTTTAAATCTCTCTCTCTCTACATATATATATATGACAGATAATGATATTGTTATATTTCCATAATATCGATGTTATTGCTACTTTTACGATGGTACAGAAAGCTTTCATTTCATTTGTTTTCTCCATCTAGCTCTTTAGATGATATAGGAAGGGAAACAAAGTTCACCAGAAAATATGTTTCAAATATTATTTTGATCTTCACTTATTAAATCCTTATTTAAACCACTTCGGTTTAAATAAGGATTTTTTTCACCTTCGCTGGCCTAACAGCAGGATACATATTCAGTTTATATTGTATTCGCAAATATAAACGATCTGCCCCTCTATCAGAACAAATTCTGCATGTATTGCATGCATTTAACGGATTGCTCAGTTACTTAAAATCTTGTTACTAATGTCACTAATTATGACTGAATACACTGGACATCGTCAACTTCTGTCATCATGGTGGTTATTTGTGCTGAAGCAATTAGCTCCTCAGATAACCTTGTTATTCAAATGTAATTAGTGAGCAGAAAGTTGATTTTCTCTTTTAAAAATGGCGATTTAATTAGCAATAAAAATAGTCACTGTCATCAGGTATGACCTCAGCTTAATGTCTGTGGTTAAGACGTAACACGTTCTAAGTTTTCCATGATCAGCAAGTGGTGTTATGTATAGTCTATTTTGGATTATTCAACAGTAACTAAATTAAAAAGACATGTGAATCCAGCAGAGGCTGAATGGTCAGTGTCCTCCCATGAAATGAAGGAGAGCAGATGATGAATCTGTGGGTGGTGTCACACATTTAGTGTGAGTTATAAATCAGCAGAGACCCACTGTGCACACTGTTGTTCAGTCACTGGTTGGATCACTGCTGTCTCATTGTCCAGCCCTTTTTGTGATATAAGGTAAAAATTATCCTTTAAAGCAATAGAATATTTGTTTATCTTCCTCGAGAGAAATTATTAATCTTACTTTAGCAAAGGAGGGATTACCAGCTGAGAAGGTAGTTCTATTTTGGGTTACAGAAATAATTTTACAAACCTAAAATGTGATTGTAGCCCTGTGTTAAAGATCATATGACTAAATACACTTACTTGTTTTTAGATGGAGCAATGAAGAGAAAGCCACGATGCTAAGACAAATTGTGGTCAAACCCCGGAGACAAGCTTTTTGGGGGGCCGGTTACCCATTTCATCCTCACTCTTCCTCTTGCCTTTCTATGAAGGAGGAAGTTTTTTTAGAAGCTGCAGAATATGGCAATATCCCTGAAGTGAGGCGGATGTTGGAAGAGCTGCCAGAGCTCAATGTTAACTGTGTCAACTACATGGGACAGAATGCACTGCAGCTGGCTGTTGCCAATGAGCATCTAGAACTTACCAGACTTCTTCTAAAGAAGAAAGACCTCGCCAGAATAGGAGATGCTTTGCTGTTAGCCATCAGTAAAGGTTACATTCGCATAGTAGAGGCCATACTGAACCACGAGGCTTTTGCAGACAGTCAAAGGCTGACTAACAGCCCCAGCCAGGCAGAGATGCATGATGACTTTTTCTCCTATGATGAGGATGGGACACGGTTCTCTCATGACATCACTCCCATCATTCTGGCTTGCCAGTGCCAAGAGTATGAAATAGTGCATATACTTCTTCTTAAGGGAGCCAGGATAGAACGACCCCATGACTACTACTGTCAGTGCAAGACCTGTAGTGAGCAGCGGAGGCATGACTCTTTCAGCCATTCACAGTCCCGCATCAATGCATATAAAGGTCTAGCCAGCCCGGCATATCTCTGTCTCTCCAGTGAAGATCCTGTGATGGCAGCGCTGGAACTGAGCAATGAGCTTGCAGTTCTGGCCAACACTGAGAAAGAGTTCAAGGTACAGTAATTACAGTGTTCACTCAGGATGCATATTGATGTTTTTGCCAGTCTGTTTATGTGCTTCACTCATTCACAGTGCATATGCTGCTGTTCTCTGTTACAGAATGATTATAAGAACCTGTCCATGCAGTGTAAAGACTTTGTGGTGGGGCTCCTGGATTTGTGTCGAAACACAGAGGAAGTGGAGGCTATTTTAAATGGGGACAAAGAATCATATCGTAGCTCAGACACCACGAACAGACAAAACCTGATTAGGTTAAAACTTGCAATAAAATATGAGGTTAAGAAGGTAAGCACATGAGCACTCTTTAACTTTTTTTTTTTTAATCAATCTTGCATCCTTCATCAACCTCATGTTTGAATATGTAAAGTGTGTAAAGTAATCCTTTTCTCTTCCTGTCTCTGTCTGTCTGTCTTTGTCTTGCATGAACACACACATGCACACACGCAAACAACATATACCTTTAAACTCAAATGAGGCAGTTTGTGGCACATCCAAACTGCCAACAGCAACTCCTTTCCATCTGGTATGAAAACCTATCTCGACTCCACCAGCAAACAACAGCAGTTAAGATTCTTCTTGTTCTTGGTGTAGCTCTTGGGTTGCCTATACTGGCTTTTATTTACTGGATAGCACCATCAAGTAAGGTTAGTTTACAAAAAAAGTTGCACATAACCTAATAACCTGCCATACAAATGTTACATTATGCCTGCTGAACTTTAAATTGCCAAATTCTGGTAACACTAAGTTAACAAAGCTGTAATGTAGGATTGCGCTGACTTTTTTAGTTTTCTATGAAGTTTTTCTCATCATCAATGTTTCAGTTTTCATGACTGGCTTAAGCACTGGCATGTATCTTTTGATGTATAAAATATATCACTGAAATATGTAAAAAAAAAAAAAAGTGATTTTAGGTTTTGTTCTGTTTGTTGTCTCTCGCTTCAGTTTGGGAAACTTATGGGCGGCCCTTTCCTGAAGTTTGTGGCGCATGCAGCTTCCTTCATGATATTTCTTTGCCTACTGGTCCTGAATGCAGCAGACCGCTTTGAGGGAACTTCACTGCTGCCCAACATGACCATCCATGATTACCCTTCACAGCTTTTTCGTATGAAGACCACGCCCTTCACCTGGATGGAAATTCTCATCATATCTTGGGTCATAGGTCATAAGCGTAAACACACTTTGTCCCTCATCAATATACTTATGGATTTCTCATTATTTTGTGTGGGAGGCTGTAGCTCAGGTGGCAGAGCAGGTCAGCCACTAATCAGAAGGTCGGTGGTTCGATCCCAGGCTGCATCCTGGCTGCATGCCAAATATCCTTGGGCAAGATACTAACCTTGCCTACTGGTGGTGGTCAGAGGGCCCGGTGGCGCCTGTGTCCGGCAGCCTCGCCTCTGTCAGTGCGCCCCAGGGCAGCTGTGGCTACAATGTAGCTTGCTATTGCCAGTGTGTAAATGGGTGGATGACTGAATGTAGTGTAAAGTGCTTTGGGGTCCTATGGACTAGAAAAGCGCTATACAAATGCAGGCCATTTACCATTATTTTAGTCAGGGTCCTCATAATATTACACTGCTGTGCATGTCAGGGTAAAAACATCAGAATCATTCAAGATTTATTAATCTTCACACATCTGCTATGATACAAATTGCCCACATTCACCAAGAAAATCTCAAACTACAGACCAGACTTTGAAGCCATGTCAAACATGATTTACCAGTAACAGCAATAAAAATTCCTATGTGATGTAAATACTATCCAAATCTTAGTAATACTGTTTGTACATGATAAGATTTTATTACACTATTTCATATAAGAGCGCAAAAATGGGACTGCCAATCACTTTTTTTTTTCTCCACAGGGAAGATCTGGGAAGAATGTAACAACATTTGGTCCCAGGACATCCGGGAGTACATATCAGAACCCTGGAACCTTCTAGACTTTAGCATCCTCACCATTTTTATGACGTCTTTCACTGCCAGATTAATGGCTTTTTGGCATGCATATTCAGCCCAGTGTTATATTGACAAGCACCATACTAGCCTGTCCAACATGACGTTGCCCTTTGAAATACAGTATTTCCAGCTTGGTAAGTGTAGACCAAAAAAATTCAAGTGTTGTTGGTATTATGGGTAAGGATTCAATATTTGTTTACATTGTTAAAATAAAAGGTTGCTGGTCTTAGATTTTAATTTTGTTCTAATGTTGCACTGGACAAAGAGACAAACAAACTTTTAGGTGTTATCTTCATAGCCCAAGTAATTTTTTTAATTCATCATTAAAATGAAAAATGATCTTTATTGGTATTTGATTTATAAATCTTAACACAAGTAATAATATTAACAGAGACAAAGTTTAGATCATAAAACTTGTTCTTACATGCAGCATCTCTCTCTCTTTTTTTTTTCCTAGCTCGAATCCACTGGATGCCCTCAGACCCGCAGCTTATTTCCGAAGGCCTTTACGCAATTGCCGTTGTGCTTAGTTTCTCCCGCATTGCGTACATCCTGCCCGCCAACGAGCGCTTCGGGCCTTTGCAGATCTCTCTGGGAAGGACGGTGAAAGACATATTTAAATTCATGGTGGTGTTCGTAACAGTGTTTGTGGCTTTCATGGTAGGAATGTTCAATCTGTACTCATACTACCTTGGAGCCAAACACAACGATGCCTTTACAACGTAAGTGTCAAACGACTTCAAAAACGCAGTTTTTAGAAAAATATGATCAAATGTTTCCTTTACACACAAAACGTGTCTAATAAATATGGCACAATGGTTGAACTATACTAAATTCTGATTTCTGTATTACTCCAGGCTTGAAGAGAGTTTTAAAACATTATTTTGGGCCATCTTTGGGCTGTCAGAAGTGAAATCAGTGGTGATTGACATCAACCATAAGTTCATTGAGAATGTAGGCTACGTTCTGTACGGGGTGTACAACATCATCATGGTGGTCGTCTTGCTGAATATGCTCATTGCTATGTTTAACAGCTCTTTCCAAGAAATTGAGGTACAACTTCATCACTGATATTTCTAATTTAGAAGTGATTTGACTGGTACTGTATCTTAAGGCCGATTGCCAAATTTATCAGCGTTTTAAATTTCCATCTTTTTTGTTTTTGTTTTTTTTGCTGCAGGATGATGCAGATGTCGAGTGGAAATTTGCAAGAGCTAAACTCTGGTTCTCTTACTTTGACCATAGTGGCACACTGCCTGTGCCCTTCAATCTTGTGCCCTGCCCAAAATCAGTATCTTGTCTATTGCTGAGTATAAAGGATTTCATCTGGAATGTACCTCCCGGCAGACACACAAAAAAATCACGCAATGAGATGGAGCTTAACAATGTGAGGCACCACCAGTGTCGTTTGATGAAACAACATTTTAATCAAGGAATTTTCAGTTTTGTTGAATGTACTAGTTGGAATGTATATCGTCTCAGCGGGTCTACAGGGCCTTCTTTTGTCACATTAATAGGTACAGCTTGGGGTTGTAAGTACCTATGTTAACACCTTCTTCTTTTGGTTGTTTTTGTCTTAGTTAAGACGACAGGACGATCTGGCTGGGGAAACATCTCTTTGTCCAACCCGTCATCAAGTAAAGCTTTTTAAATCTCCAATAACTGCTTAATAAAGGAGCTTTCAGTAAATTGTCTTTCCTGATAAAGGTTTTGCATACATAAACAAGTGCACATAAAAAGTGCAAAGTTTGTCATTTATTTTGGTGTCATCTATGGAATCATACCTATGAAACAGTATAAGGCATAAAATAAATTTGCTGTATATAAACATAAGGACCCATAACATGTCCGTCCAAATAGTCCAAATTGTGTCTTGTGTGAGGGAAATAATTAGCAGAGCAGAATAAAACTATAATCATGACTTTGTTACTTTATTACAGAAAATAATGAATTGTCTCATTAAAAGATACATCTTAAAAGCACAGAGGGATAAAGATAACAATGAAGTGAATGAAGGTAAGTTCTTCTGGGCTACTTTTCATGCCAGGATCACATAAAAAACACAATTTTATCCTTTTCACTTGCTGTTCCTCAGGTGAACTGAAAGAGATCAAACATGACATCTCCAGCCTTCGCTTTGAGCTCCTGGAAAGGGAGAAGCACGATAAGAAGACACTAACAGAGCTCATGAGGCAGCTGGAAGAAGTAATGCATGCGAAGCAGAAAGAAGAGCAGAAGCATACACTGGATATGGTTTCTTAAAAACAATAAAGATTAGAAATGTATTTACTGGACACACTCCATCGTTCTCATTAATGAGGGATTCAGTCAAGGCCAAATGTTTCTGTGACACAGACTTAACACACAACTTTCAGACACAACTTAGCTGATAAAACTACATATTTTGTATTCATTATAAAAAAAATTCCTCCATTTTCTCCATTGTGTAAACTTATTAATTTGTTTGTCTTTTGATTTTTTTTCCGTGCCTGTGTCTGAACAGTTTGCTTATTGCTACAATAAAGGAACTGTAATGTAACTTTTCCTGTTGCTTTGACTAGGCTACAGTTCTGAGTTGACTGCTGTCATCTGCACGATTTGTTTTGGAGGTAATTCACCTGGTGCTGAAAACCAGAAAGCGGTTCAGATAAAACAGAAAGATATGTTTGATTGTCTCAGTCGCAACACTCAATTAAGCTTCTTTCTGATAACTGCGCTCAGTGTAGCTGGAGGAAAGTAGTTACTTTTTCTTTAATGTAACTTCAGTTAATCAATACAACTCCAGGCTTGATGTTCAAAACTCTATAAATAAATTTTCTTAAATGTTGTTCTTTGTCAAAATATTAATTACCCGAGTATAATGTTTATTTAATGTTATTAAAGTTACTGCGGGTTATCTTCATCCCATGAGAGATTATGCGTTTTTAAAATCATTGCACCACATGCTGTTGTGCTCTCTCATGCTTGGTGTTAGGCAAAATATCTGAGAACAGTGTGACCTGTCATGTAGACATCCAGCTCGCCTCCATATAGTGAGGCAGAAAGACTAAAACAGGCTTTAACTGCCAAGCCTGTGAATAATGCAGCTGTGAAGCATTTACACCAAGGACAGACATGGCTGTTATAAAACAGCGAAACTGAAACAATTACCACCAGAAGAATCTATAACATTAACATCCCGGGGAAATTTACCCATGTGTCTGAAATATTCGAAATTTGATTAAATGAGAGGATTTTTCGAAGCCTGTTGGTGGTCAATGGGAGCTATATTTAAAGTTTAAAAACCTGTGAGAAAACTAGGCCATTGCAGCACATTAAAGAACACATTATGGAGATATGAAGAACAATTACAGCATGAGAATTGTTTCTGATGTTGTCAAAAACATGACGCAGGAGATAGGGGCCAAGGTCGTTGTGTGAATAATAACGACATGCATCAGCAACATTCACATTTCCTTTAAAAATAAAACCCTCTATAATATCTAACAAGGTTGAGGCTAAAGATAAAACAAAAATGTAATTCAAGGTAAAGGGCAATTTTATAAACAGTAGCCATTAGATGGCCACATGGGTGATAGTCTTCACTTTATCAAAGTCTTTTTATATATTCATCTGTCTACAGTAAAATTATGATGCTTAAACGCAGGGTTAGTTTCCGAGCACTATGAAATCGATTAAATATGAAAAAGGAAACAGTCAATTAAAGTTACAAAAAATATTCCTTTGAAGAAAACTAATAAAACAGACAAAAGTTTGTGATTTAGCAGAAATCACAAGGGTGATGTTGGAAATGATTATCCATTTTGCGAGTTACTGGGGTTTATCTTCGTCTTTCCGATGGCGATAAGAGTTTATAGTACTTTCTCCTTTGGTAATAATGCCTTCCCCATATTTTACTTGATTCATGAACTGTAGGGCGGAGACAAAAGACCATTGGCATTGAAGTGATGCACTGTTGATTCTCCTCTTTGGTCTATTGTTTAAGTCTGGTGTGAGCGCAGTGCAACCACATAGATGTCTTGTCTTGGATTCTTCCCCTGGCAACCTTTGGAGGACCGTTATAGTCAGAATGAGGAATACTACGAATATGTGAAACAAGAATAAAAACAATCGATGTGACTTTTAAAGATGACTACTACCAGCACAAGGTTATGCTTATAAATCTGCCGAGATTATCGACTGGGGGTCGTAGTTGCGCTCTCATCAACATTGGCCAAAACTTCGTTTTATTTGTGAAGTGAAAAAATATAGATATATATTAATGGAATAGACCTTGTGTGAAAGAAAGACAAGTGACTGCCTTTTTCCACGGGGAGGAGGACTACAGGAAGGTTACCAAATCACAGCTTATCATACACCTTCCAACCTCCGAGCGCCCTCCACTCTCTGTTGTGCGCTTAGAGGTTCACAAAATGGAGAATAAAACAAACGGGAAGATGGGCACCAACAGTACTTCGGTCGCTGATTCCACCGAAACAAGCCTAAGTGACGTGATTGAAGCTGGATACAGTAGGTCGAATACAAAATTGCCGGCCGATTCACGGTTTCTAAATTGCATGTCCTCTGTGCGTAATTTTGGAAACGTTAACACACTGATCCAAGGTCTTAATTCAAGCCCTGACTGCGCAGTTTTTAAAGACTGTAACACAGTCGATCCTTCACTTGGAGCAAAACATTTTTATGACCGTAACAGAGACTATCTTAAATGTGATGGTGTTCCGTGGGAGGATTTTGTTAAACTTCAGAGGACAAACGTGGCCGCATCCGAAAGTTTACCAGGCGCAGGTCTCCCTTCTACCTCCGGGGCTTGCAAGTTCATCAAAGATGAAAAGGAGCCTTCTGTGATTATGGACATCCCCTGTCACAACTTTGATCCATCACTCGAGATTTCCGCTCTCGATACCTGTTCTGACACCGACAGGAAGCAGCACTTAGGGCTTAGCAAAGGTGAATCGACAAGTTTCGATCCCAACGCGCAAACAGCTGGGCAATTGTCGATATATAAGACTGATGTTCCTCGTTGGCAGATGCAAGCATCTCCAGGTGAGACCCAGTATTGGGGACAGTCGGCGGGGGTAAACGAGGACCCGTTCAGAACTAGTGGCTACAATGTGATGCAGAACCAGACCCAGACTCTTCCTCAGAGGAACCCAGCTCCTTTCTCCACATTCCCCGGGTAACTACTACTCAGCGTGATAACTGCCGACAGAATCTTAATCATATTAATCATAACAGTGTCGCAAAACTTTTAACACAGTTTGGATAGGTGTGAATGTTGGCACGTGTAACTCGAGGATCAAAGAGTAGCCTAATTAATTACACAACTGTCAACACATACTTTATCATTTTACAACGACTAACGGTTTTCTAGGTATTTCTGAATGTAACAAAAAACATTTTATCTAATGCGGAGTCCACAGCGCTCAGTAGTCTTTGTCTGAATATTTTTTCTCTTCACATATATTTACTTTCCCCCCCAGTATGCCACCCCAGAGACTGTGTATGATCTGTAGTGATGAGGCATCTGGCTGCCACTATGGAGTCTTAACGTGTGGGAGCTGTAAAGTATTTTTTAAAAGAGCGGTTGAAGGTGAGCAAAGAAAATCGTTAACAAATGTCAAAATAACCACAGTGTGTGTGTGTATATGTGTGTTTGTGTGTATGAATC